ATGCAATTTATGATGTTAGCCTACTGTGGGGACTGGGGATGATGTTGCTAGCTTGAATAAGACTGTAAGAGAAGCATTTAATGTAGTTACCAACAATTTCTTTGATCTCTGTAATGAACATAGTGTACTTAAACCCCTTAGTGGCCTTTTGTTTCTGGCACTGACACAACGAATTGTCAGTCATGCTATTGTGTTCAGTTAGGGACCCTGGTTTGTGTGCTTGCTAGATCCTTCTGGCCTAAGGGGGTTTATGAGTAATTTAAAAGAACACCAACTTTTACAAACTGATGCTTCCAAAAAAGAAACTACAAATGTCTTATAAACATGTAAAAGATACTTACTATCTCTCATAAAAAAAGAAAATCATTTTAAGACCTCACTGAGATCTTACTTTTCATCTTCAGATTGACAAAAATCTAAAACATTGGAGAAACACTGTTGAGCAAGTAGGGGAATAAACACTGAATACATTCTTGATGGGAGCATTAAGTGTACAACTTTTTAAAAAATAAATTTTATTGATTATACTATTACAGTTTTCCCAATTTTCCCCCTTTGTCCCCTCCACCAGGTACTACCTATTCCCTCTGGCAATCCTCCCCGCCTTAGTTCATGTTCATGGGTCATTCATATAAGTTCTTTGGATACTCCCTTTCCTATACTATTCTTAACATCCCCCTGTCTATTCTATACCTACCAGTTTTTACTTCTTTTTTTAAATTTATTTTTTTAATTATATTTTATTGATTATGCTATTATAGTTGTCCTGATTTTTCCCCTTTTGACCCCTTCCACCCATAACCCCCACTACAATCAGGCAATCCCCCAACCATTGTTCATATCCATGGGTCATGCGTATAAGTTCTTTGGAAACTTTCTTCCCTCTACTATACTTTACATCCCCATGGCTATTCTGTAATTCCCGATTTGTACTTCTTAATCCCCTCACCTCTTCTCCCATTCTTACCCTCTCCCTTCTCATTTGGCAACCTCCAGTAACTGACTTCTTATCTCTTGCTTTTAAGAGTCTGTCTTTCTCCCGGCTGGTGTAGCTCAGTGGATTGAGCTCGGGCTGCGTACCAAAGTGTCGCAGGTTCGATTCCCAGTCAGGGCACATGCCTGGGTTGCAGGCTATAACCCCCAGCAACCACACATTGATGTTTCTCTCTCTCTATCTCCCACCCTTCCGTTTCTAAAAAATAAATAAATAAAATCTTTAAAAAAAAAGAGTCTGTCTTTTTTTAAAATATATTTTATCGATTATGCTATTACAGTTGTCCCATTTCCCCCCTTCACTCCCCTCCACCCTGCACACCCTCTCCCACCCACTCCCCCCCTTTAGTTCATGTCCATGTGTCATATTTATAAGTTCTTCAGCTTCTACTTTTCCTCATACTATTCTTAACCTCCCCCTGTCTATTTCCTACCTACCATCTATGCTACTTATTCTCTGCACCTTTTCCCCCTTTCTCCTCCTCCCACTCCCCTGTTGATAACCCTTCATGTGATCTCCATTTCTGTAGTTCTGTTCCTGTTCTAGTTGTTTGCTTAGTTTCTTTTGGTTCTGCTTTAGGTGTGGTTGTTAATAATTGTGAGTTTGCTGTCTTTTTACTATACATGTTTTTTTTTTAATCTTCTTTTCTTAGATAAGTCCCTTTAACATTTCATAAAATAAGGGCTTGGTGACGATGAACTCCTTTAACTTGACCTTATCTGAGAAGCACTTTATCTGCCCTTCCATTCTAAATGAAAGCTTTGCTGGATAGAGTAGTCTGGGATATAGGTCCTTGTCTTTCATGCCTTGGAATACTTCTTTCCAGCCCCTTCTTGCCTGCAAGGTCTCTTTTGAGAAACAGCTGACAGTCTGATGGGAACTCCTTTGTAGGTGACTGTCCCCTTATCTCTTGCTGCTTCTAGGATTCTCTCCTTCATTTTCACCTTGGCTAATGTAATTATGATGTGCCTTGGTGTGTCCATCCTTGGGTCCAACTTCTTTGGGACTCTCTGAGCTTCCTGGAGTTCCTGGAAGTCTATTTCCTTTGCCAGACTGGTGAAGTTCTCCTTTATTATTTGTTCAAATGTGTTTTCAATCTGTTGTTCTACCTCTTCCCCTTCTGGTACCCCTATAATTCGGATGTTGGAACGTTTAAAGATGTCCTGGAGGTTCCTAAGCTTCTCCTCATTTTTTTGAATTCTTATTTCTCCATTCTTTCCAGTTTGCTTGTTTCTTTCTTCCTTCTGGTCCTACTGTTTTGAGTCCCAGTTTCCTTCCCATCACTATTGGTTCCCTGCACATTTCCCTTCATTTCTTTTGTGGTAACCTGCACTTGTTCATCTAATTTGCGACCAAAATCAACCAATTCTGTGAGCTTCCTGATCACCAGTGTTTTGAACTGTGCATCTGATAGGTTAGTTATCTCTTGGTTGCTCAAAAGGATGAGTTTTAGGGCACTGATTTATTCTTCTGTTTGAGCCATCCCCCTCTCTCTCTCTCTTTTTTTTATTTTGGTCTGGTTACTCCTGCTATGGTGAGGGGTGGAGCCTTAGGTGTTCACCAGGGCTTGGCACCCCAGTCGCTAGATTGTGACATTGTATATGAGGGCAGGGTCGAGAGGGAACAATGGCAGTAGCTCTGTTCTCCGTAGGACCTCAGTCCCTTCCCTGGGATCCTTGGTTGCACACTCTGCCCTGCTCCACAATCTCCACCTCACTGGGTCTTCCAGCTGCCGCTTGTGTACTCAGGGTCCACCTGCTGCGATCTTGCGCGCCCCAGATGCCTTACGTGCTCCCGGTTGCCTTATGTGCCCAATTCTCCCTGTTCTCTGGCCGAGACCCACGCCTGGCTGCTCGTCTCCACCCCTTCTACCGGTCTGGATGAACAGGTCTACTTCAACTTCTTGGCTGTCCGACTTCCATTCAGATAAATTCTCTGTCAGTTCTGGGTGTTATTCTGCCTCTAAATTGTTGTTGTTCCAATCTTGGTTGTGTGTGGAGGTACGGTGCGTCCACCTATGCCTCCATCTTGCAGGAAGTCAGAGTTTTTATCTTTAACCTTTGGCCTTTTAATAACGATGTGTCTTGGAGTGGGCCTCTTTGCATCCATCATAATTGGGATTCTCTGCACTTCCTAGATTTGTATGTTATTTCCTTCACCAAATTAGGGAAGTGTTCTTTCACCTTTTTTTTTTTTTCAGATAGATTTCCAATTTCTTGCTCTTTCTCTTTTTTTTACGATACCCCTATGAGGTGAATGTTGGACCTCTTAAAATTGTCTGAGAGGCTATTTATACTATCCTCATTTTATTTTTTGGATTCTTTTTTCTTCTTGTTGTTTTGTGTGGTTGTTTTTCTTTTGCTTCCTTATGTTCCAAATCATTGATTTGTAGCGTGGCCTATAGTAGACAAGTGCACCAGTAAATTGGGTGTGGCAGAGCCTGAGGTAGTTTCCGGGGGTAACCCAAGTGAACCAGGTTGTTGCAGTCTCTGATACGGTGTTGCCACTTTGTGGCTGTGTGTGGGGACGGGCTCAGAACAGGGACAGTGCCACTGCTGGGCTTCTGGTGTTTTGTCTGGGAGAAAGCTGTCCCTGGTACTCATCCTGATGCCAGGCACTTCAGTTTTTCCCCACATGCCACTGGTGCCCTTCCAGCTGCTCTCCTGGTGCTGAAGCCTAGAGGGAGTGAGTCTGCATAAGTTCTAAGTCTGTTTGTGCCCTTTAAGGGAAGACTACTGAGAAACCTGTAGTTTCTTCCATTAGCCAACCCCCCCCCCACACACACACACACTGATTTTCACAGCCAGAAGTTATGGGGACTTATCCTCCTAGCACTGGAACTGTGGGCTGAGTGGTCTGGTCTGAGGCTGGGATCCCTCCCTCCCGAGGAGTCCCTCCCTCCTGAGGTGTCCCTCCGATTTTTATCTACCACACGTGGATGTGGAACCGTCCGTTTTGCATTTCCGAGTGTCTCTGCATCTCTGCCCCTCCTACGTGTTTGGATTAATGTGACTTCTTTAATTCCTTGGTTGTTGGACTCTTGTATAGCTCCATTTTTCTGAATATTGTGAGTGATTCTTATTTTGTAGTCTAGCTGTAATTTTTGCTATGGTTGTGCGAGGTGGTGAGCCATGCTTACTTATGCCTCCATCTTGACCAGAAGTCTCCTAAGTATACAACTTTTATTGAAGGAAGTTTATATATATATAGAAACCATAAGTATATACCCTGTGACCTAGTGGTATGACTTACAGGGATTTCTCTTATAGATGCACTTAACTGTGTGCATAAGCTTATTTATGGAAGAATTAAAGCTTGGAAACAAACTCAGAAGTGGTCTAGTTACATAAATAATTATGTATCTATATAATGGATACAGATCTAAAAACCAGTGAGGATACTCATTATGCACTGACATAAAAATGTCCTCATGACAGGACTGAAAGAATAAAGCAAAAGGCAGTGAATATACTACCAATTGTGTAAAAGGGGCAAAATGAGACTATATATTACTTGTTTGTATGTGCATAAGAAAGTTATGCAAAGGTGTTTAAGAAAGTTATATGAACAATTACGTGTGTGTATAGGAAAGGAGACAAGGTGGGTATTTTTCACTATATGAAATTTTTAAACTATGCATATATTGCTTTTTTACAAAATTAGAATGTTTTGAATTTCTGTCATAGCTGCAGAGGAACTCTCTTAATTGACTTGCTAGACTCATACTTGCTCTCCTTTTGGATAAGAGGGAAATTTCTTCATGTTTTAGCCAACAGTGCTGTTTGTTGCTTTTTATGTGGGTACTTTTGGTGAAAATGGTGCACTGGTTGTTGGTCCTGGTGTTTTTCCTGTTGTTCCTCAGCCAAAATCACTGGCTCTGAAGATTTACATACCAAGAGCCTTAGGTTCTTTTACAAACCCTAAGAAACTGGCCTTTTCCTTTTTTTTTTTTTTTTGGACAGTTAGGATGGACAGAACTGAAGTCTTTTACCTTTTCTCTTTGTAGGAACCTACAAGCAGCAATTGGCGCCTATTATGACTTCGAGAGCCCAAACATCAGTATGCCTTCTATGTCTTTTGTTGAAGATGTCACCATAGGAGAAGGGGAGTCAATACCTCCTGATACTCAGTTTATAAAAACATGGCGGATCCAGAATTCTGGTAAATATGTAGTGGGCAGTTCTCCTTATCCAGTTTTCTTTTTCTTAGTAATTTTAGAAGTGTGATTGTGTAACTCTTGGGATTTTTCTTACACATGATGTAGCATTTCTTATACTCGTATCATGACCAAACATCAACAAAATATCCCTTACCCCATATTAGGAAGAAAAATTTAGGTCTTGATGGCATCTGAACACAGTTCAATATTCATTCGATACCAGGAACTCGGCCTGTGTGTGGTAGTTGTACTCCAAGCCTTTAATTCTGCTCTAGTTCGTTTGCCAGTTATTTCCATCAGACTAGTGGAGGAACAGCCGTGAATAGAACAAGTTAGCTAAAATAAGAGCTGTGAGCTAATTTTTTTACAACCACAGGATGATTCTGTCTGAAATTTCATTGAAATATTGAGACGTTAATACACTTTGAAAAATAGGGTGAGAACTGGGGATTTGCTTATAATGGGAAAGTTGGAACAATTGAGAAATTGTTTTTTTAAAGCATTGTTTTTGGTATATTGCTGACTTTAAGAAAAATTAAAATTAATCTAACCATAGTTCTTTGAAAATGGTGTTTGAGTATGTGTCTGGTAACTGTTAACTATTACCTTTTAATTGTTAAATTTTTTTCTAATGACTTTATATTTGAGTGGGTTTAGTATTCTTTGTCCCATCCAATAAAAATTTATGCTGACTGGGTGAGGATGCTTTAACATCCTTGTTTTTGAGACAGAAATTCTGAGAGAAAAGTAGGCAAAAGGATATCTAGCTGAAAATTGGGAATTGTGGAGGTACCCTCACTAGCAAGTAATCTGATAATGAGGTGTAAAATTCTGTGGGTTCAAGCTCTATAGAAGTAAATTTTTATTGACTATTTACTTTTCTTTATATTTCTTTTATGATGGGGAAAGGCTGGCTAAGCTAGACTTTTATAAAAGAACTAATATATCAAATTATTATTCTTAGATTTTTCTGGCTTATTTAGAAGTAATTCTCCCTTGGATAAAGGTTCAGTGAGTTGTGGAGCAAACACACATCATTTAGCCTGATCTAGTGTTATAGATGGCTGTGGACATCTGTGGCTCCATAAAATTTTTATTAGCCTCTTCTCCCGTTTGTTTATAACAGTGTGTCACATTGTTACTTTGAGAGGCATATGGTAGTATGGGAAAATAGCCATATTTTTTAATTTTTCTTGAAATTCTTGTTTGAAGTTTGATTATCTTTACTTTGCCTGATTTCTTTCTTAGCTTTCTTAATAACTGCCTACTTTAAAAAATATGAAAACAATGTCTTTAATTCAGCCTCTATTTATGTATTTCTCCCTTAAACCTGCTGTTATTATTAAACCTGCTATTACTGATCAAAAAAAACAAAACATTTTTGAGCCATGGCTGGTGTGGCTCAGTGGATTGAGTGCCAGCCTGTGAACCCAAGGGTCGCCTCTTTGAGCCCCCCAGTCAGGGCACATGCCTCGGTTGTGGACCAGGTCCCCATTTGGGGGCATGTGAGAGGCAGCCTACTGATACATCTCTCACACATTGGTGTTTCTCTTCCTCTTTTCCCCTCTCTCTAAAAGTAAATATATAAAATTGTATAAAAAATTTTTTAAATGCTTTTGAAACTTATACATGAAATTTTTAAGTGTGTCATTTATTTAGAAAGTGTGAAATATTCAAAAGTTTTATTTAGCTTTTAAAAAATTTATCTAAGATCTTGTTATTTATAGTGAAAGTGGTCTGGACTTCCATGAGGTCATTATAGTGCTTTTAAATATTATAAGTTATTAGAGTAATGTTTAAATATTTTAAATACCATCTTGTTGCAGAATAACTGTTTTATATTTTAGAAAACCTCTTGATATATTGGCTCATTCACTAGACAGTTATGGGGGTTAATGAGGAGAGGGGGTGTTAAAGGGAGGATTAACATAAAATGGCTAGGCTGTAAAATCAGAACCTCACAGAGCCTGCCTTTCCCTTTGATGTGGAGAAAATCTGTATTGGTGTGCCTGGGTGCCTTTTCCTCCTGTTTTTACATACTAACTTTAGTTTAAAACAGCCTGTGGGGCTGCAGCCTTTTTTCCTGTAAACAGCATTTTTTGTTCCTGAACGCCTCTTAGTTGGGCCACAAATGCTAGAGATTTACCTTTCAACATACTTTGAACAAATAGATTTTTTATTCTTCTGGAATTTGTTCAACCAGTTGTAAAGTAGTTTTCTATCTGTACACTAAATGTTCTCCATCTGATTAAGGAGAACCTGGCCTCCAATAACTGAGTGATGGGTATGTTATTAGAGAGAGGAAAAGTGTGCATTGCACTGTTCTTTGGAGCCATCCTAATCTGGAACTAGAGTAGAAACACAGAAGTAGGGCAGACCTTTGCTATTTCTTCTCTGGCTCTCTTACTCTCATTCATAATCTTCCCTAAGAGGTAGTGCTCACTGAAAGAGTTTCATAAATAATTTTCTTGATCCTCTCTGCTGTCATGTTTCAGGCATGTCAGGTATTCAAATATACAGCAGATGAGATTAATAGAAACTGCACATAGCTGTCCCAACAGCTTCCCCAAAGAAGATAAATGCCACACATTGTTTAAAATTAAACTACTAATACTGTCTAAATCCTTAGATTTAGACCACAGAAAAACAGAAGTGAGACATCTAATGACATAGGTGTAGGATCCTATGGTTTAAACTTTTGTCACTGTTTAAGAGTTAGAATTGTGGGAAATTTGAGCAGGAAAGTTTACATTGGAGTTTAAGGTAAAAATTTGAAACTATCCCTCTGAAGATGAGAGTAGGCAATACTCTTTACTAACTGTACAGCTGCTTCTGAATTGTTACAGCCATGCTGTGTTGTCCAAGTGGAGTGAATGTTAAGCTGAGCATGAATGATAACTCTGGTGTTTCTCTGACTTTGGTGAAGTAGTTTTTTTTTTTTAAAGATTTATTTGTTTGTTTGTTTGTTTATTTTTAGACAGAGGGAAAAGGAGGGAGAAAGTGCATGAGAAACATCAGTGTGTGGTTGCCTCTTACATGCCCCCAACTGGGGACCTGGCCTGCAACCCAGTCGTGTGCCCTGACTGGGAATCAAACCAACGACCCTTTGGTTCGCAGGCCAGTGCTCAATTTGCAGGGCTGGTGAAGTAGTTGTGATTGTCATGTGAGAGTGGTTTGAGAGGCATCTTTATTTTTTGAACTACATAGAAGTCATATAAAACAAGAGTTGGAGAAGAACTTGAGAAGGAATAGCTATTTCTCCATCTTTCTTTTGGCTCCTTAAAATTGTAAATTTTCTTCCTTTCTCTTGAGCATGATTATAGAGATCATTCTGCTCTATTCATTCAACAAATTCTATGTTCTAGTCATTTCATCAGGTACAGGGAGGTAATGGTGACAAAATCAATGAAGGTCTCTGTTTTTATGCCACTTAATTTGAAATGCAGTCTCCCAACTTTTGGGATTAAAAGAATAGGGGATCTTCACTGAGGTGTGTTGTCTTCTGCGTTCTTCTTTGGATGCCCCTTACTGTCTCCAAGCTATTTTTGTACTCACATACATAGTAAGTCTCAGGCTTTCTGGAACTGCTGGACTTTTATTTCATTTTTGCCATGCCCTTTATCATCTCAAAATTGCAAAATTGGGGGTGGGGTTGTTTTTACTTTTTTTTTTTTTAAATAAAATTATGTTCCATGACAACTGGAGAAACACAGCCTTAATCATATGCATGCCTGTGACAATTTTGGAAAATCATAAAATACAGATTAGTCTTTTCATATATATATTCATCCCCCATTAAGCCAGTTTGTAACAGACTTAATTTGAAGCCTGTTGTGTTGTACTTATCAAATCTTGGTTTTAGGTGCACTTAGTCAGGTGGAATCAGTATCTTTGACTCTTTCAGAGTCACCTGACCTGACAGTTCGGGCTGTAAGAACTGTATGTCATAGTGAATTATTGGCACCTCTCAGAAGACGGATCATGGTTCTTCAGTTCATAGTAAATTAACACTTCAGAGGTGATGGTGTGTGCTCTTCCAGTTTTTTCAAGAGGCTCTCTCTAAGTACCACATCAATAGGGTATGTAGCATACTAAAATGATCAGGACTGTAGCTGCATAATTTAACATGAAGCATATAATGTTTTACCAGCTAATTCACTTCTCCCTGGAATAGAGCAGTGCTCCCTCTTTGCATGCCCGAGAGATCTGACCCTCTCAGCTGCTTATGGAGAGCCAAGTATTTCCCACACCTAGACAGTCATGGTTTACCTTATCTTCTTACAAGTTCATTCATTCAACAAATTTTATTATGTTCAAGTCATTTTATCAGGTACAGGGAGAAAATGGCAACAAAATCAATGTTTTTATATCACTTACTTTGAAATGCAATCTCCAAACTTTATAGGGGTTTTCATATGAACAGATACTGTCTTGTTACAGGTAGGTGTGTGTGTGTCTGTATTTTAGAAAATAATTGTGAATTCAGCCCTACAACAAGGTTTAATTTTCTTCTTGGATCTTGGTCTTTAAAAAGACCAACATTTTCCAAGATGCTTTATGTCAGCTGCTACTACTCTTGGTATAAGACAGATATGCTTTTGCCAGGCCATAGGCCCCAGAAATGAAAAATAAAATTTGCATATATTACCATTGTATCATCTACACTCTTTCTACCAGCTGCAATTGCTCTCTGTAGTGTTTAACTTAAGAGGACACTTCACTGACAGTTTTTCTTAAGAGGGAATGACAAAGCACACTGGCCACTGTTTCATCTGCTATCCCTTCAGACCCAAGGGCCAGAGAGGGTGCTGTTGACAATGGGGCTGAGATTGCAGCAGTAGAGCTCTGGTTGCTTTTCTCTCTGGTTCTCTTTTCAATAGTAAGCCATCATGCATATCAAAACCAGCCTGGTGAGTACTATTAGGTAAATTTCAAGTATGCCATATCCTGCCATGTCTATCTTTTCATAGTGATTTATTTGTATAATGAACATATATCCCTCAGAAAGATATATAGATGTCTTTGTTTGTGGTAAGAAGGAGTGTATTGGAGATACCTCACAAGAAAAATCACATCTAATCACTATGTGGCTCCCTATGACTAGTCATAGCAAATCAATATATGGATTTCTCATTTTGCATTAGTTTACATGAAAATAGGTACACAGGAGTTGGTGCCAAAAAAGATCTTTGCCACTTCCAAAGGAGGAAGGACATTTCTGCCAAAGCCATTTCTCTGTTGTGACATTTCTGTCCTTCGTATAAACACCTCTTACTGGTGCCGTCCCACACAGTTCATTGTGTTGTTATCAGGGGAGTTCGAAACTGTCCATGTTTTCCCTGCACATGGAACTTGCACTTGACTCCTCTGTCTCGTATTTACAGAGTCCCTCGAGCCTAGGTCTTTTCATAATTAAGGACTCTAGAGGCAAAGTCATACATCAGGGGAAAGGTGGTTTTAAAGTGAAAACATTATCATCGAAATTACTCCTTATGTGTTCCACCCCTTTGTTTGGATGAAAAAACTGGGGACAGTCAGACATATTTATACTATGAATTTCAGCTTAAAAAGTTAGTGAAAATGGGCATGTGTTACCTCTTAGCAGAGGAAGCAGTCCTCCAAAGACATGGCTCTGTGCTTGTCTTCATGGCTCTTCACGTGTATCATTTTAGCTTCTACAGATTTAGCGTGATGTGTGGCCTTCCCTGGGGTCACCTGAAAATCTTGAGGAACTGCCTTGTTTCTGCTTTCTGTGTTTTCTCGTAGGGATAGCCTGTTGGTCAGAGGTTATTTACTCTGATAAATTCCCTGTGATCAGTCATGTGAGGTGTTACATAGCTTAGGGATATGTGGGCAGGATTACCTGTGTGAGAGACAAACAAGGAGGCCTCTTCTATGGCTTGGTAATGAACTGCACCAAGCAGAGGACCACTGATTACCTAACATTTTTTTCTTTTGCTTGAACTCAGGAGCAGAGGCCTGGCCTCCAGGGGTTTGTCTTAAATATGTCGGGGGAGACCAGTTTGGACACGTGAATATGGTGATGGTGAGATCGCTAGAGCCCCAAGAGATTGCAGATGTCAGCGTCCAGATGTGCAGCCCTAGCAGAGCAGGAATGTATCAGGGACAGTGGCGGATGTGCACTGCTACAGGACTCTACTATGGAGGTGAGTATGTCCCCGTGCAGCCCAGGGTGAAGGAATTAAGGTAACATCTTACTGCACCCCCAGTGTTGCTCATAGAACCTGTCAAATTACATAACAGGGCGTGGCCTCTCTTAAACATACAGTCACTTCGTGCAGGTAAATGACTTGAATTTAATGACTGCTGGGTTCAGTCTAGTGCTCTCCTTTTTACACGAGGGTCTTAGTTAAAATTTAGTAAATTGTACAAGATATATCTTGCATTGTAAACAGTGATTTAGTAATGTTGCTATTTTTATTCTATAATCTAGTAGGTGCTAAAAGAACACTGAAGGCAGTCTTTGTTCACAGAATTTCTAGATACAAGTCATAAAACAAAGATACTGCACAAAATGTGCATACTTCCTTCACCCTGATGACTGGCAAGCTACTAATACCTCTCAGGCTTTCTGTTCATTGCCAGACTTTCTGAACAAAGTGATCTGTACTCACCATCATTTCTTACTGTTTTCCATTTATTCTCCAACCCAATCTGTTCTTTATCCACTCCAGTGAAATGTTTTTTAGTGACTGCCCAGTTTCCAGATCTAGCAGTCTTTATACTAACAGACCTTCTATCATTTGGCACCATACTCTAAACGTTTTTTGACATGTGTACCTTCCTAGAGTCACATAATACCTCTTTTGTTTCTATTCCCTCTCTCAATGTTCTTGCTCTCTCTTTCTAGTCTTATCTTTGCCTTGAGAGTACTAGATTCTGAGCTGGACTTTGGTCATGCTCAGTGACCTCGTTTTACCCACACAGCTTCATTTGTCGGCAGTATAGAGCATACAAGGTGATGCTCAAATTCATATCTCTGACTGCAAACTCTTTGTGGAGCACCAAACCTGTGTATGAACTGCTTATGGACAGAACACCTGGGTATTCTGTAGATTTCTGAATTTTAACATTTCCTAGGCAAACTTACATTCTTCCCATTGGCACTTCAGTGAGATGATCAGGCCAGAAACCTTGGAATCATCTTTGTTTTGTTTTTGTTCTATCTTATTGTCCTTAATCACAGATCAATCCCTGTTGGTTCCACTATATCCCAATGTCCTGGAAATCCAAAGAAAAATAGATAGCAAACAGTTGTTGCCCTCAAGGAGCTCTTAACTGGTCTTATGACTAGTGGGACCTTTGGATTATTTGAAGGAGTCTTGGAATTAATATTCTCATGTTTTTGCAGACAGTGGAAACTTTAAATATTTTTACAGCCTCAAAAATATTTAATGTTAGAAAAGGTGTTTCATAGTGCTTATGTGACATCGTTCTTTGCCTAAACTTTTGCACCTGCTGTGATAAAGCCAAGCTCCTTGGCATGGGGCTTACCGCTCCTCACGATTTGGCCTAGCCTTGCTTTCACTTTTCATCTTTAGTCACCTCCTTACTCCCCTGCAGCCAGTCCCCAAAGATGCCACTTGCTTTCACTTCTCCATGCTCTTGCTTATGTTGTTTTCGTTACCTAAAATATTTTTTCTCTCCTTTCCAGTAAACTCCTACACATCCTTAGGACCTTGAAGTCAAGTCACCCTTCCCTTTTCCCTCCTTTCCCCTTGCTTATTCTTCCCACTACTCCAAGGAAATGTATCTTTCCCTTTTTCATTCAATTATACGCATGCTTGTTGTTGTACTTAACACATTGTGTTTGAGGTGTTTGTTTACTTGCCCTTTTCTCCTGCTAGGCTGTGAACTATTTGTTGAATAGCAAAGGAACATGTAATCAGGTATCAGAATGGAGAGAGATTATCTGTCTCTTCCCTCTAGACTCTGTTTTCAGGCTACCTCTCAAGAATCTTTTTTTTTTTTTTAAGATTTTATTTATTTATTTTTAGAGAGAAGGGAAGGGAGAGAGAAAGAGAGAAACATCAATTAGTCGCCTCTTGCACGCCCCCAACTCGGGGCCTGGCCCACAACTCAGGCATGTGCCCCAACTGGAGATTAAACCGATGACCTTTTGATTTGCTGGCCACTTCTCAACCCAACAAGCCACACCAGCCATGGCTCAAGAATCTTACCGGCATGTTTGAAAGTAGTTTCTCCCACTGCTTAGCTCATTGCATTATCTCTTTCCCTTTCTGTCCTTTGCCTCTCTTTGGTACTTTACTTCTTACCACCCAGTTAATATGATAAACGACTCATATCATCTTTAAAATTTAAGGTGATACATACATGTCTCATTTATTTCTGTAACTCTTCAAAAAGCTGAACTCAGTGCAAAGCAGGGAGTAGCTACTCAATAGATTTTTAAAAATGAATGTTAGCATTTTTAAGGGAGGGAGAAGAAATAACATACATGACTTTTTTAAAAAGTCCCTTTGATGCAAAGATACTGCTTCTTAGTGTTCAAGAATACTAGTCTTGTTCCGTGTGTGTGTTTAGTGTTAAATTAAAAATAATTATCAGTAAGTGGGACAGTAAATTTGTACATGTAACATCCCTTCAAATTCTAGAAGTGGATAGTGTATAAATACATACTAGCTGTGGAGGCAGTAAAATGTTCAGAGCCTTTCTTGGTTATGTAGTCTGTGACTTGTCTGTCAGGACTTTATGAAATCTAAAAGCTTTGGGGGGTCTTAATAATTATCTGATTTCATGCTTTTTTTAAGCTGTTTTTTTAATCAGTGGAATACTTTCCTTGATAGTAGCATATATGAATGTCCCCTCCAAATAAGGGGACAAGATAAAAATGAAACTGGTTTTGTTGAGTTGAAAGCCTCCTTGGCTGGAGTTACTTTGCTCCATTGACCTCCAGGGCTCGGTGGTGTATAGTTTGCAAGCCCTTTATCTGCTATAGAATAGAATTTAATTTTACAGACTTACTGTATTTCATTGAATTTAGGTTACTGTTGATTGTAAAACACAGTATGATAATAGAGATGTTAACTGGCAGAAAGTGCATATAATATACATAAAAAACCACAACTATGAACACATGGGGGGAAAACCTGCCATGTTGCCCATGATCGGCTCTTCCCAGTTTTTTGTTGTTGTTGTTTGTTTGTTTTTTCTCATTCTTCTTAGCTTGTTAGCTCATTGAATGTAGTTGGTGGTAAGAATTTGGAATGTAGGACTTGGTTGCCTGGGTGTGAACTTGGACAAGTTAGGTAACTTCTCTGTACTTTATCTTTCTGTTTAACAATAAACCTTGTATTTTTTTGTTTTGGTTTTGGTGGGGTGGTCTCTTTATAGTCTTGAGATCTTCTGTAGAAAGAATCCAGTCTTATTTTTATAATAACAGTTAGGGTTTTTCAGCTCATTTCTCTTCCTCAAAAGAAATTTCTGCTGTATTTAATAATTTACAAATGGGTTCTCTTTCCCCATTTTGGGTTGGTTGTGCTCTCAGTCTCTCAAGGGATGATGTGTGGAAAGTTCTTCGTGAGGTGGGCGTAGCATAAGACACTTGGCCCTCTCTCACGACATACCTCTAACTTCTTATTCCCATCTTTACTGCTAGCCCTCCCCCCCACACACACACACATATCCCTTGGGTTCCCTTGGTTGAGTAGCACTAAGTATCTGATTTATAACAGGTATATTTTCAAGCCAAACATTTTATTTTATCTTCCTTTTATGAAGTTTTGCTTCTTAGATAAAAGCAATGCTATCTGATACCTGCTGTATGTCAGGCATTGTCCTGGGCTTTTTGCATATTGATTATCTTATGAAGGGAGTATTAGTAACATTTTATGGATAAGGAAACTAACACCTGAGATAATTAATGATTTGTCTAAGATTCAGTAAAAATTATAAATTAGGCATGATTTATAGTTATAAAATACAAAAGTAGTTCACTAATTTGGTCCTCAGTACTGTATGGGATTCTCAGGAAAACTTTGGCTCCTGGGTATTGATACTTGTCAGGGTTTGGGGAGGAAGTCCACTTTCCATTTCCATACTGAATGGGAGTGGAGGTGGGGTTGAGTTTGGCAGGACGTGTCTTAGGTAGTTGGATAAATATCAGTGTTTTTTCAAGGAATTCTTGCCTGCTAGGAGATACACAGTTCCTGTAGGACAGTTGACTCTTGGGAAAAAGTAAGAGCATGAGCAGTTGTCTCCATTTTAGTCTTGGTACCAATAGTAAAATGCCCCCTCCCCCTTCTCAGCAGAGTACTCTCCCAAAATTCTACAGAAGAGATTTACCCCTGCACTGTAATAATTTCTTACAAATCCTTAAATTAAGCTAAGGTCAACAAGGTTAAGAGAATAATCAGAGTATCCTTTTGTTATCCTCTTGTTATTGTGTGCTGATGAGGGCTTCTCCCACGTTAAATACTTCACGTGGGTCCCTAGGAACATTTCATGTGTAGATTACATACTTATACACTATTCATTTAGTTTCCCAGAGTTTAGAAATGGAACTTCCCTTATTAAGCTCCCAAACTGTAATTCAAGTTCCATCCACCCATGTAATACGAAAAATAGACATTTATTGAAGAAGATGCAAGATATAAGAAACATTTCAGTCCCCTTCAAAGTAGGTACCTTGGAACCTCACACAGTTCTCCCAATTGCCATCAGCTGCCCTGTTGTATTTTCCTGAATCTCATCTGTATTCTGAAATCTCTTCCCTTTCGAAGGTGATTTTAGTTTTGGGAAAAACCAGAAGTTGCAGGACACCAAATCTGGGTTACAGGGAGCTGAGTCACCTGGGTGATTTAATGTTTTGCCCAAAAAACACTCTGTAAAAGATGTGATGCATGAGCAGGGATGTTGTTGTGATGAAGCTGCCAATCAACAGTTGGCCATTGCTGCATCCTCCGAGTCATTCGAATAGTTTCCGTGGAGGGATGTTTAAGCTTAACACAAAATTTGATGCAGATTTGTTGCTCTACTCGCTTAGTCGTTTTGAATGTGACGGCCACACAGTACACATACTCACTCAATGGCGTCTGCTACCTCCACTGACTGGTACTGTGAAGTCATCATCGTTCATGCGCATTCCAGTCCCCTCTCCTTGGCTGCCAGGTTACATCGATGTTGT